GCTCAAACGAAAAAGAGAGGAATAAAAACCATCGGAGACAAACTTAATTAAAAATATATACTTATGATTCTGTTCCATGTTGATGTTTCAGTTATTTGTCGCGATGAGGAAGGGCAGATTCTAATTCTAAAAGATGTTTGGAATGTAAGTTTTCATACTTATGGCAAACCTTGTAAAAATTCCACCCTTAGAATAACTAAAGCATTACACTGATTTATCATTTGGAAAGCTTAGCGTTTATTTTTTTTGGAATGTCAGCTCGAATAACATATGAAGAATTAATTGTTAACATCATTCCAGGTGTCCGACTGTCTCAGCTGCGAGTGTACAGAGGGTCGTCTGAAATGCAAGAGGACACTTCAAGTCAACTTCCCAGGCAAACACTTGGCATACGTACCTTTTAATGAGTCCTGTGAACAACCAGGGTGTAACGCTATGGAGTTTATTAAAGCCAGGAGAGAAACTTGTGAAGGTACACGTCAGGTTAAAGATTTAGACTCAATTCATGCCGAGAGCTACCTTAAAGATCGCTTTAACCAAATTAGCATACATCATCAAGATTCGCCCATTAGATCTATACTTATCAAAAAAAACTTCTGAATGTTGACCCGAGCGGAAATTGAAATCACCGCAAAGACCATTTTCATGGCTTTATTTTTACTCGCGGAAACTGGTAAAAACCGGCTAGGGTCAATTCTGGAAAGCACCTATTGGTTCGGCTACTCTCTCAAAATAAATAACACAGAGCGATTAAAACTACCGTATTCTACCACTCTTTATAATTTAGCTCAACTCCGTTACCTCTGACATTGTTATTTTTTCATATCCATATAATAAATATTTCTTTACTCAGTAATTGAAACCGTCGAAGGTGGCCACATTTTGTCACGAGGAGACAACTGGGACTACAAAGGGTGTCAATTCCTCTTTGAAGGACACAAGCAGATCACAGGGTGCCCAAAAATGTCTCTATCAACCTGTTATATCTACAATGGAGCAGTCTGTTGTGCTGAGAAATGCCCAGGTAAAATATTATAGATATTGAAATGATATGGATGGCCAATTGTGAATGAGAACAGCGGTTCCGTTTGGAAAGAAAACGATGTTAAGCACTTTTCATATTGATAAGGTCATTAATAATAATGAGTTATTTACAAGGCATTTGCTTTGTAATTACCTCATTTTTAAATCTAAGCGAACTTAATGGACCATAACAATAACAACAACAATAATAATAATAATAATAATAATAGAACATTCCACTGTTTCCAAGTCGAATTGAAATCAGGAATGTCAGTTTTTGTCGAGGTAGAATAACCGGAAGACTTGGAGAAAACCCTTGCAGCAAGGACTGGAATCGAACCCGGGCCACAGTGGTGGGAGGCGAGCGCTCTCACCTCTACACTATTCCCACTCCCCGCTCTCCCTTCCCTAATCCAAATGAATTAACAGCAATGTTATCATCTTTTGGAAACGATTATTTGTCAGTTTTCGAAAAACGAAAACCAAAGTTATGACAACAGCTAATTGGAATCAAGGTGAACATCAGCATTAGCCAGTGGGAATGCAAAGAAATAATTGACAAGATGCTATAAGCGCCGGGTGATTGACACGAGTGATTGACTGTTTTGCATTTGATTTGCACATGCAGCGTGCGAATTTTTTTGGGCCTATCACAAAGTGGTTAGTGTATTGAAGCAAAACGAAAGCAATTACGAATTTGCATTCAGCATTCAATTGAAAAATTGCTCTCAATTTCTCACTGAAGGCGCGTTTTGTAATTCATAGCACTCCCACAACTTGCAAGTCAGGTGCGCTGGGGTATGATGGTGTGTCCTGGAGGACTTCAGTTGATAGCCAGTGATGATCAGTGTGACATTATCGACCCGAATTGCCTGCCGGGAAACGGCTCCTGTAAAACGGGTAAGTTTGATTGATTAGAGCGACTTCTAAGAGGCTTCGATATGGCTGGTCCATCTTAAAAAAAATCTAGTCCTCATTTTCAAGCTGCGTTAATCTTCTCCATTCTCAGCAGATGTTCTTTATTTTAGGTTGTTACTACTTTCTTTGTTGTTCGACTACCCTAGCAAGCGGTAGTTCAATAAAAGTTATTTTACACCTAATTTGAGGTTGGTCTTTATGACGTTTGAGATCAATAAAAATACCGAGACAAAGGTCATTGACAAATTGTTGTATGCAGATTAAATAAGGCAAGATATATCGCCGAAAAACTGCCGTTTTGACATCCAAATTTATCTTTCACTTGTTTGTATCGAACTGACTTAGGCTGTATCGAAAGGACTTAGTTTCTGGGTTTTTTTTAATCGTCTTGGTCTATCTTTTGAATCCATCACTATCGAATCGAATTTTATCCAAAAGACCGGACTCCTTCTCTTTTACAACCTAGTCACATTCCCTTATCGAGAATGGACGTGTAACATAAAGTTTTTGAGCTCTCTCGGAGCAAATGTCCTAATTATTAAACAGAAAAGTTTGTGCAACTTTGTATAAAACCAATGCATAGACGTCAGTGACAGCTAAGAGAGAATAAGTTAATGAGACTGTATCCCTTTGTAAGCCCTATTTCAAACGTTATTACTCTCAAGCTATTTTTAGAATTAAGTATCTGGTCTTCCGAGACCAATGTACATTCACTTAGTGTGTTGCTTGACGTCTCAATGAAGAACGCATAGAAGCCGTGTGGGATCATGGGATGTACACGTGAGCAGAATTAGCAACATTAAATTCACTATTTTTAGATCCGCCTGGATCTCCAAGGGAAGTGTGCCAAAAAATAGCCTTAGGGGAAGTACCATAAGATTAAACACCACATGAGGAGAGACGGGGGAAGGTTCCTTCTCTAAACTCACTCATTTCCTGTCAAAGCAGATTTTTTTCAGTCCCTATCTGCTGATGATTTGTTTCTCAGATGACTTGTGTCAGGACGAGGATGCAAATACATATATCAATGGAAGCACCTGGTCTATTGGTGACTGCATCGACTGTTACTGTCACAATGGCGTTATCTCGTGTTCTAAAACGCTGTCAGTCATTATATCCAATGACGAAAACACTGAGCGCTGTAGTCAACCGGATTGTAACGTAGCGGCGTTCTTGAAAGCAAAGAAAGGAATCTGTAAAGGCAAGTGATTGTGAAGGGAAAGCCAAATACCTGCGTAAAAATGGAGAACAATGATTTTCCAAAGAGGTCTCATCCTGTAATCACAAGATTAGCTAACTTTCTCTGTGAATTATCATGTATTTTGTACCTAAAGGCTGGTTTACCACCACAATTCATAAGAAAATGACCACACTAAATTTAAGTTATCCATTCGCATGTAAATGACTTTTCTGCATTACGTTAGTTTGCATATGGAGGAACCAAACCCATCTGGAAGGCTACCGCTGGACAGAGAATGGAGTTGACTTCTTTTGCAGCTCAGAAAAGCAGAGAGTGAGGCCTGGATGCTACTTGAAAGCTGGTCACGTGCAATGTACAGGGGCTTTTACAGGTTTGTTCCAGGGGCCACTAACTATCGAGACATCCATCGTGTCAAAGAGACTCTAAGGGACATACATTTTTTTTTGCCCTGAAAAACATGCTCCTTCAAGCTACTTTTTTTTAATATTCCCGCTCAGATTTGTGGACGTCGAAAAATAATTATTCTGCTTTGCATTATACAAAAATCTTTCCCGATATTTTTTAGGCTGTTTGTGTTTCTACATTTTTTCAGGAGTACGAAACTTATCACTCATATCTGATGAAAGATTGTACCTCTGTAAGACCGGAGATGAAATAAGATCACTTAACGACAGATGTGATCAGAAAGCAGACTGCAGGGACAAGTCTGACGAGAGAGATTGCGTTCAGTGTAAGTGTAAATGGCAATGACTAAGACCTGGGAACTAGTCATCAGTTTTCGTCTGGGGGGAGGGGTTCGGAGGATAATGGAGGATCGTATGGTCTTCTGGGGGAACGGAAGGGAAGATCAGTTGCCGCCAACAGAATATTACAAATAAAAGGGGGAATATATTAAAGTTCACACGGCAACCAGGTGGACAATCAGACATAGTTTGAA